GTTTTAGATTTGCAGATACTAACTACTATATATAAAATAAATACAAGTTAATACTGTATAGCACAGGGAAGTATATTCAATATCTTATAGTAAGTTATGGTGAAAAAGAATATGAAAATAAATATATATATGATGCTTTATGCTGTCCTCCAGAAATTGACACATTGTAAACTGACTATACTTCAGTAAAAACATACAGACACACAAAAAATTACAAAATATTTTAAGCAAATAAAAGGTATAGAATAATATGATGAGTTCCTTTGTACTTACTACCAAAGTACCAAATACTAACTTTTTGCCATATTTCCTTCAAATCTTGTTATACTTTTCCTTGCAAAGTAATAGCAAAGACTTAAATAGCACATACTGTATGCTAGGTACAGTACTAGTGCTTTACATATATTGGATCACTAAATCCTCACAATAACCCTATGAGATATTATTGTTCATATCCCCATTTTACAGATAGGGAAAGTGCAATACAGAGAAGTCAAGCCACTGGCCCACATAATGGAGCATGACATGATCCTAAGCAGTTGGCTTTTGCTGCCATGTCTTCACTACCACGTGCCATCACAGGTAAAACCCTGGGACAGAATGACACAGACCTATATTCACTCCAGGGTAATCATCAGCCTGAATTTGATGTTTATCACTCCCATGCGTGTTTTCATAGTTTTGATGTATAGTATTTTTGCATTTTTTTAAGGTTGATATAATTGGACCATGTCATATGTGTTCTTTTTTGCAAGTTCCTTTTATTCTTAACATCGTGCTTATGAGACTTACTCACATTGAAAAATGTGTATGTATTCTTTCTAGTTGTGCACAGTATTTCATTGTATTTACTTACCCACTTTTAAGTGGATGGATTGATACTTTCTTGATTCCAGATCTCCCTGTGACTGGCAGTGCAGCAAAGGGCTCTGCTGCACAGTGTATGTCTCCTTGTACAGACGTGTGAGACTTTAGGAATACATATATGTCTGAAACTGTTAAGTTATAGGGTATGCAGATCCATAATTTATTTACCAGATACTGTACAACTGTTCCCTGAAACGTGCCAAATCCTCACTCTTACAAAGTGTGAGTTCCCACTGTTTCATATCGTTGCCAACACAGAGAAGTTTATTTTTGATTCTCTTATGGGTGAGAAATAGTATCTCAATGTTGATTTAATTTGCATTCCTCTGTGTTTTTCATTTGTTTACAACCATCTAAATTTCCTCTTCTGAGATTTGCCTGTCATTTCCTCCCTCCATTGTTGTGGCTGTGTTTTTGCCATTGGGTTGTCCCTCATTTCCTTATTGATGCGTAAAGCATTCAATGTATAATCAGTACTTCTGAGGACATCAATTTCTAGGTTGCGGCAGTCATTTCACTTTGTTTACCATATCCTTTACTGTACAGATATTATAAATTTTAACATAGGTATATTTAGCAATCCTTTCTTTCATGGGATAAGCCTTTTGTATTGTTGAAGAAAGCCTGAAGGCTTTCTCCAAATTTTAAATATTTTCCCCCATTTTTATTCTAAAAGCTTTAAAATTTTATGTTATTGCCTTTAGGTGTTGAGTTCAATCCCCTGCAACTAATTAATGAGTATGGTGTGGGTAGGGATCTACATTTATTTTCTGCCATAGAGGTAACCATTCTTCCCAGCATTATTTACTGAATAATCTATCCTTTCCCTCCTGATTTATCATGCCATCTCTGTAATTCACCAAGGCTCCAAACACGCATTTCCTATTTCTGAGTTCTTAATTCTGTAGCACTGGTCCATTTTTCTGTATTTGCACCAATACAAAATACTATCATGTTTTAATTACTATGGCTTTATAATCTGTCTCAGACGTGGTAGGTAAATTCCTCACCTTATTCCTTAATTTGTCTTGATAGACTTTACTTTTCCATGTGAATTTTAGGATTGCCTAGTCAAGTCCCATGAAAAATAAAATGTGTTAGGATTTTGATCGGAATTACATTAAACATCTAGGTTAATTTGGTAAGAACTGATATCGCTATGATATTCAGACTTTCACCCATAAAAATGGCGTACCACTCCACTAATGTAGCTCCTTTTATATTTTTCAATGATTTTATAATTTTTATATAAAATTTATAATCTTCTACACTTATTCCTAGATTCCTCATAGTTTTTATTCCTATTTTAAGTATTAACTTGTAGAAATTATTTTCTCCAAATGATCACTGATGCTGGCTAGAAGCAGAATAAATTTTAGTATATCGAGACTGTACCTACCAACATGGCTGAACTCTAGTTCCAATAGCCTTCCTGGAGATTTTCTTGGATTATTTCTATGGATAACAACATAATCTGGAAAATAACGTTAGCTCTGTTTTCCTTCCTTCTCTCTCGTTTTTCTTCTCCTCCCATGCTGACAAAGACCTCCAGTGTATTTTGGACTGGACGCGGGGGCAGGAGGAGGGCACAGAGCCAGAGCTGCAGCGTAGCAGCTGCGTAGTAGCGGGCTCTGGCTGCAATTTGCTTGGACTTGAATCTTGGGTCTGTCACTTCCCAGCTGTGTGACCTTGGTCAAGTTATTTCACCACTCTGTGCCTCTGTTACCTTATTAGTAAAATAGTGGTAATAATAATAGCACCTCCTTACTGGTTGTTATCAGAAATGAGGTGTTCAGCAAGCATTAGCTATGATTACCAGGATCACTGTGTGTGTGAGTTTTTTAGGCATAGGTTCCAGGAAGCTTCTGGAATAAATTTGAACTCCAGATCTATATAGGGCCAAAATCACAGTCACGGGCTTCTGGAGGTTACTTTTTTTCCCCCTCCTCTCCAGCGCTGGCTGAGACAGACAACTTTCCTTCTTCATCATTTCCCGGGGTCAGTGTGTGGATTTTTTCTAGTTTACCCTTTTACTGAACGTGGGGTCCTATTCTTATGGGGCTACTCAGTTCCAAACCCTACCCGCACTGTCCCAAAGACAAGTCTCGTCTATGCACAGTCACTGAAATCTAAACCCCCAGGATTACTCAAATCAGCACCTGTCCCACCCTCAGGGCAACTACAGAACCATTTCACATGTTTACTGCTATAATTTTTAAGTTCCCCTTTGTTTTTGGCACTTGGGAATTTCTGTTACCTTCTCATGAACTTTGGTATGCATGTCAAAGAATCTTTGCTCTAGTCTTTTTTTTTTTTTTTTTTTGCTATATTCTTAATTATTTCAGTTGGAGACGTTGCAGGCTTTCTTGGGCACAATACTGCTAGGAACAGAAGGTTCGTTTGCCTTTTTTCTTTGTTTATATGATGAGCTAAATGTTAGTTAAATCTATCAATCTTCTCCTTTATGTAATTTGTCTTCAGTGATGTGCTTAGAAAGGCTTTTTCCATATCAAGATTATTTACCCATGCTGATTTGCGTGATTTTGTTTCTTTACATTTCACATTTAAACCGTCTAAAATATATTAACTTCAAGACAATCAAAACCTTACATATTAGCAATAAAGCTACCCAGACAAAACAAAATATAGCTATGATCCAACTACGTGGTCTATCAATACTAACTGAACTATGAGTTTGACACGACTGCAATTCAGTCACAACTGAACGCCCAGAGAAGCCACCAGGGCTCTTCATCACTTTGACTTGCTGCTCAGTCCAAGCCAACAGTCACATTCCACTGAAACTGCATTCAACTGAAACCCTGCATGACCACCACCTGGAGACCACCCAACACAAGGCAGGCACAATTGTACCACGAGACTCCTACAGACTAAGATCTAGCTTTCCCTTCTGTTTGTATATAGAAGAAAGAAAGAAAAGCAGAATTACAACAAAACGGACTCACATTTGTGGGGGGAAAAAAAACTGAATAAACCCTGTAGAGAACTATCCAGAATTCTGGACATGGAAAGCAATAATGGCAGAAATTCCTCACATTTCACAGTGTGGGAGACCTGCTTGACTTTGGGGGTCACCTGTGCAGCTGGCACCGACAGGGCTGGGTCTGAGGGGGGAGAGAACTTGGATGGAATGTCCCCCTCCCCTGACTCAACCTCAGTGCCGATCCCAGGAGCTCCTTTCAGAAGCCAGCGGGCTCTTTGCAGCCCTGTCCTAGGATCTCCTGGAGAGGGGCCGACTCTGTGTTGGCCTGGACAGACCAGGAGGACCCTGTCCCTCAGAGTCAAAAGACACAGCTACATGCCCAGTTCTGCCACCACTATGTCACCTCTCCAGCCTCAGTTTTCCAACTTTAGAATGAAGAGGTAGGACTTGATTTGGTCTCCAGAAAAAAAACACAAATCAGAATTAGAACCCAGGCTTTCTGACTTCCAGGGACAGCTCTTTAATACCAGCCACAATGATAATAATCCCAGCTATCATTTATTTTGAGTGCTCATTGTTTATCGAACTCTGAGCCAAGCACATTACACGCATTATCTTATTCAATCCTCATTAGCTCCCTATGAGGTTGATGCTGTCATCCTAATTTTACATTTATTAAATTCAACAAATACTCGTTGTGCCAATTTCTAAGACTAAGTAATTTGCTCGAGGTCACAGTTAGTAGTTTAGTCAGAACTCAAACCTGGCTTTGCCTGATTTACTGCCCCCTCCTTCCCTCCATCCACCCATCCCTCTACCCTCCCTTCTTCCTTCTCTCATCCAGCCATCCGTCCACCCCCTTCCCTAAAAGAACTGCCTCTTCTTGCGCACACTCTCCTCCTCCGTTACTAATTGTCATATCTCACGTCCCCACACATTTCAGGCTCGTCCTCAAATCACTTTCATTTTCTAGCCTTTGTGCATCTTTATCCACAACCTCTCACTCCCAACAACATCTCCCAGCTCCTCAGAAGCTGATCCTGACACTCCTTCCTCCTGTATGTCTTCCACAATGACTTCCACCTTCAGAAGACCCTTTCTTGCTCTGAGTCCCTCCTCCCTTACCCATGAAGGCTGGTCCTTCACACCAGGACACCTGTTTGAGAGTCAGCTGCCAACGGCCCCTTACCAGGTTTCCGACCTGCAGCATCTCCTCGAATTCAGTTGTCATGTTGTAATGCTCCAGTGCCATGAAGAGTGTGTTAAGCACGATGCACATGGTGATGGTGAGGTCAGCGAATGGGTCCATGACCATGAACTTCACTTTCTGCTTGATGGACATCCACAGTGGGCAGCACTCCCAGATCAGGTAGCGCTGGGCAAAGCGGGTCCAGCACGGCGGGCACTTGCGGTGAGACTCCTCCAACTCTGCGGGGCGGGGTGGGAGAGCCAGTGAGCTGGTTTGTTTGTGCTGACTGACTCTTATATAACTCGTGGTAGT